AGGTCTCAGTTTGACTGAAGTAAAGCCCATTCAGTGATTAAGGCTAGGTAAGAAATGAGCCAGAGAACGGCCTCTTTAATCTAGTAAAAAAAAAAAAATCTGGGAGGGGAAGATACTCTGGGTTTCTGGCCAAAACCAAAACAATTGTTACCTTACATTCACTCTGAGCCTATCAGGGCCCAAACAATGACCAAGTGGGGCTTGGTCAGGGACAAAATTAAAATTCTACTAGGCAGCTGAATTCAGACTTTCAGGAATGATAAATATTAGTTTTAGAGAAAAGAAAAGATGACAAAACATACTTTTTGACTGAGAGTGGAATAGTGCATATAATGTCAAAAGCATTCATCTTGTTAGTTAATTTTGCTTAACTGGTCTTCACAGAATCATAGATTCTGAAATTTTGTCCCTCTGAAGACTTTCCCTCTACAACCTATCTGACAAGTGGCAGTCTGGTTGTGTAGTAGTCAAGGCACTCACTACTTCCTAAAGTAACCAATTCCACTTTCATACAGCTCTAAGTTTTTCCTGCCCTCAAGCCAAATTTACTTCTTTGCAATTTCCTTTCATGGATTTTAGTTCTTCCCTCAGGAGCAAAAAACAAAACAAATGAAACAAAACAAAATAAAATAAAATAAAATAAAACAAACAAAAACTGTCTAATCTCTTTCACATTTTAATTTTACAAGAAAAAAATCACATTTGTAGGGAAGAGATATAAACTAATAGCTATTGTGTTTAAAACACATATACACACACTTGCACACACAAACACAGGAACAGAAAGACCAATAGAATGTAAAAGAATTCATATGTTATTTTTTTCTTTTTTAAGAATGGAAGATAGAGGTGCAGCTAGGTGGCACAGTGGATAGAGCACTGGTCCTGGAGTCAGGAGGACCTGAGTTCAAATCTGGCCTCAGACCAAAACACTTGACACTTACTAGCTGTGTGACCCTGGGCAAGTCACTTAACCCCAATTGCCTAAAAAGAAAAAAAAAAGAATGGAAGATACATACATGGGCAACATTAGAAACAAATTTACTCCTAAAATATGCTTACTCCATAAAATTATCTTGATAAATGACAAAATTAAACATAAAAAAAACCACCTTAAAGAACACATTCCTGTCTAAAGAACAGTAAGAGTTTTATGAGTCAGCTGTTTCCTGGATGAGGTAGAGCCACACAACATAGTTTGTGTTCTTCCATATAAACCAGGGCAGGCAAGAAGTGGGTAAAAGCATCAAGGCAGCAAGTGGTCATCTCACAGAGGCCAATGTCTTTTATTCCATGTACCTCGGTATTTCCTCTTACATCTTTTGTCTGCCCTCTTTATCCTGAAAGGAAACCGTTAGTGGAGGATTTGACTTCAAAGGCCTCAAGAAATCTGGGAGCCATGAGGGAGTCTGAAGGCTAAGGCTGAGTTCAGCATCCTTGGTGCTTAGGAGAAAGGTGCTACATCAGCACAAATCACACTGCAAGTCTCACTGAAATGCCAGGGTTGGTATTTATGCCACAACACTTCGTAACAAGATCTTTCTAGTACTTCTGGTTATTAAACTCCCTTAGAGTTCAGCACAGTCTTGTGCTACATTAAAGGCTATTACAGGTCTTGTTTTCACTTTGGTACTACTGGCAAGTCATTTAACTTCCCAATGCCTTAGGCATTGACTCTAAGACTGTAAGTACCAGAGCTGGTCCAATCTGCTTTGGTAGAAGGAGTTGTCCCTCATCTGGGAGTTTCCTACGCCAATGAAATGACAGGTCCAGGCCCATTCTCTATTTTTATTTTAAATTTAATGTGTTTTGTAAACCTTATAGTGGGCAGCTCACTAGCTCAGTAGATAGAGTGTCAGGCCTGAAGTCAGGAAGATGAGTCTTCTTGAGTTCAAATCTGACCTCAGACACTTACTAACTGATTCTGGCTAAGTCACCCTGTTTGCTTCTATTTCCTCATCTGTAAAATGAGAAGGAAATGGCAAACTACTCCAGTAATTTTGCCAAGAAAACTCCAAATGGGCTCACAAAGAGTCAGATATGACTGAACAACAATACAACTTAGAGGACTATGAAAATGTAAGTCATGTTGTTTTTGTTGGTAGTGGTGTTGGTGCTGTGTTGCCCTAATTCTTTTAATCTTATATTTAATGGAAATCAAATAAAAAATAGTCTGGGGACAAGTCACCACCTTACTATTTGTTATTCTCTTATTTTTTAATGTTCAGAGAACTGTTACCCAGGTAGATGAAATGAGTAGTTTTAGTAGTTGAATAGGTAAGCACTGGGAGGTAAACTCTTCTGTAGACTCACAGAAAATATCTTTAGGCCAAGTTCAGTAGCCTACAGGACATCTTCATCTTGTTTTGATATCTTCTACTAGATCTCTGTATTTTGAGAGCTTTTCATTCCATGTAGTTTGGAGATTATGAGTATTTATTATGGTGATATTGGTAGCATTAAAAGTACTTTTCTTAAGTGATTATGTCTGAGTGATTGTGAGCAACACAGAACAAGCATTGGGAGATAATATCACCAGTTCATCTTTCCTGGTTGGAAGTTGCTGAATGAGGGTTAGTTTGCCTTCAATCTTTCTATCTTTATCTCCCACTTATTCCTCCTCATAGAGGAGCCAGAGATTTAGAGCCATAAAGGACCTTAGAGATCATCTAGTCCAAGCCTCTTCATTGACAGATAAGGAAACTGAGGCTCAGAGAGAAGAAATGAAATATTTGCAAGAGGTCACATAGGCTATAAATAGCAAAGGAAGAATTTGAATCCAAGTCACCAGACTCCAAGCCCAGGGGTCTTTCCACTGCATCATACCCATTGCAACCTTCTGTCCAGTTAGACTGGTCTCCTTGTTGCCCTCCACATATGTCACATACTCCTGCCTTCATGCCTTTGCTCATGGTATTTTCCATGGTATATATTCCTCTCCATTCTTGTATGTACCCTAAACCTGCATATCCTGGAAGACCTAGTTCAAATTTTCCTGCAGGAACTTTTCCCTGACCCTTCTGGCTCTTTTTGTCTGCTCCCTTCTCTGAGATCCCATCCTTTAGTCCTTAAGCAATGTTGAAAAGGTTGTGGAAAAATAGACATGCTAATACATTACTGGTGGAGTTGTAAATTAGTACAACAATTCCTCAAAACAACTTTTATTTATGTAAATAAAGTAGCCAAAATGTCCATAATTTTTGACCCAGATATCTCACTGCCAGGTACATACTCTAGAGATCATTGACAAAAAGAAAGGCTCTGTATACATTAAAATACTTATAGCAGCAGTTTTTTTGTTTAAAAAAACTAGAAATAAAGAATATACCCATCTGTTAGAGAATAAATCAACAAATTATGGTACATAAATGTAATATAATATTACTGTGCTGTAAGAAACTGACTATGAGACTATGAAAACAGAGAAGCATGGAAAGACTTATATGAACTGATGCAAAGTGAAGTAAACAAAGAAAATAAAATGACTACAATAATGATGACAATTAGACAAATGGAAAGTATCACACAAAACAATAGAAAATGAATTTTACAAAATTACAAAGAATCAACCTGGCCCCAAAGAAGAGATATAAAAAAAACATCCTCCCCATTTCTTTGTAGAGTTAGGGAGTCCACAGGTGTGGAACATGGCACATGAGATTTTTTCAATGTATTGATCAGTTTGGCTGATTTTTTCTCCTTTTCTTTTTATGAAAAATTCTTCATTATAAGAGTCTCTCTCCTCCAATTCATCATCCCCATAGTTGCCAAAACAATATCACTTACAAAAGTCTAATTGTCATTCTCCTGTGAGAAAATCTTCAGGACCTCCCCACTGCTTATTGAATAAAATACAAACTTCTTCCTTAACCTAATATTCAAGACCCTACATAATTTGACCCAACCTACATTTTCAGCTTTATCTCATATGGATTCTTTCTTTTACTTCTATGCCAGCTTAAATGAACTGTCTATCATTTCCCTATCTTTGCCTGCCCTCTCCTGCCCTTGTGCACACCATCACTACATGTGGTCCATCTGGGTTTTCCCACACACATCCCTTCATTTCTTCAAGGCTTGGCCTGGGTTCCACCTTCTGCATGAAACTTTCCCTTATCTATATAGCTAAAAGTAATCTCTCTTACACTGAATCTTTTGTGATACTATGATAATCATCAATATCAATTAGTAAGTATTTATTAAACACCAACTATATGCCAGGCATTGTGCTAAGTGCTGGGGATACAAAAGAGGCAAAAGAGTTCCTGTCCTCAAGGAACTTATGATCTAACACATTTCCTATCATTTTTGTCTTTATCTTATTCCTCCTTACTAAATCAGCAGCTCCTTCATGGCAAGGACAATGCTTTGCTTCTTCTTTGTATCCTGAGCTCCTAGCACAATGCACTGCATACAGCAGGTGATTAATAAACATTCCCTGAATGTAATTACATTGCCCCCAAAAGTGAAGGTGCATTTGATAGTTTTCTTTCCTCACATTGTTTGCTTAAAATTTCTTATAACTTTACAATCATTTGCAATAGGCAGCTAGGTTTATACATACAAATTTGTTTGTGGAAAATACTGTTAAACTCACTCAAGCATGTAGTTATTTAAAAAACCACCCGAAGGATTCAGTTAAACAGCTAGTTGCTTCAACTCTTCTTGGCATTTTGTTTGCATTTCATTTTTTTTTTGTCTTTTCTGAGGTCAGTAAACTCAGTCCCAGGCTGGCCCAAAAAGGTTTCCATAGAATTTCAGAAGTTGGAACTGTGCTAAGAACAATGGGGAATGAAAAGTGGCGTTTTATCCAGAGATTTTCTTCTATGACAGGGTGGAGAAGTTCAATTCAATTCATATATTTATCATGCCAAACCAGACCACTGGGTTTCCTAATGCAAACTCGTGAACTAAAAATACTTTTTTTAAAAGTTTCCTCTTTATACTATTCTAGGGGGAACTCTTTTGGGAACAATGCTCTGTCATGGTTTTCTTCTTACCTGTCTCCTTTATAGGATCATCATCCATGATTTTCTCCTGCTTTGTAGGTGTACTTAGAGGCTCTGTCTTGGGTCCTTGTCTGTGAAGTCTCATCAGCTTCCATGGGTTCAACTATAGTATCTACATAGATGATTCCAAAATTCTCATATCAAAGTTCATTCTCCCTTCTGAGCTCCAGTCCACTATTTCCAACTGCCTGCTGGACAATTCTGCCTCAATATCCCAAACATACCTCAAACAGAGTATATCCTAAACAGAACTTGTTATCTTTCCCCTACCCTATTCCTAGTCCTAATTTCACTGTTTATGTCAAGGGCACCATTCTTCCAGTCACCCACTCTCACAACATAGAAGTCATTCTCAATCATTCATTCTCACTCATTCTCTTCTAAACAGGAGAAGCAGGTTTTGAATTCAGGTCTTCCAATTTCAGAATCTATGCCCTTTTCACTGTATAACACTGACTCCCATGATACACTTCCTCCCCCTCCACCCATCTACCCAGTAAAATGTAAGCTCCTTAAGGTCAGGGGCTCTCACTTTAGCATCTAAATCCCTGTCACCTAGCACAGTATCTGGCACAGAGTAGCTACTTAATAAATGCTTATTGATTACTCCCTGCATATTTGGTTGTGATTTGGCAGCCATAACAATTTTGAGATGGAGATTCTATCTGTTGCTTCAGTAGTTTTGCTATTTCATCTCTTCAGACTTCCTAATTTTATTCAACTGTCATAGGCATTGATACCAAAACTGTTTATAGTAAAAAAAAAAAAGTCCAGAATGAAAATGGATGTCAATTATCCTGGATAAATCCTGGCAATCTACCATATCATAACCAGCCTACTCCTTGTGGAAGGTAATAAGTTTCAGGGGAAAGTATGAAGATTATCAGTAGGATCCAAAGTCCAAATCTAAGTGAACAGTAGTTAAAATAGGGCTCTTCTGAGGAAGCACACAATGGAACAAATAAGGCAACAAACAAAAAATAAAGAACAAAGAAATCCTTTAGGGAATGTAGCGGGGCTCAGTAGAATTCACAATGGGGTTCCAAAGAGATGAGCACAGTTTGAAGAGACACATGTGTTTGAATGGAAAGAGTGCTGAATTTTGATTCTGAGGACCTGGGTTCAGTCTTGACTTTGCTACTTTCTACCTATGTGATGCTATAGAACTCACTTCACTTCTCAGAGTCTCAGTCTCCTCATCTGTCAAATAAGAATACTGGGGGGCAGCAGGTGGTGCAATGGATAGAGCACTGGCCATGAAGTCAGGAGGACCTCAGGTCAAATCCAGCCTCAGACCAAACAGTTGACACTTACTAGCTGTGTGACCCTGGGCAAGTCACTTAACCCCAACTGCCTAAACACACACACACACACACACACACACACACAACACACACACAAAAGAATATTGGGCCAGATGATTTTTAGGGTTTATTCCAGCTCTAAATTAGACATTTTATAATCATATGTGTACTAAAGAAGATTCCAGCCATAAATTCTTTCAAATGAGTTCTACAGAACCCCAAATTTCCCTGGTGTAATATAGTGGGGTTCCCTGAAGATAAAAAGTTATAGTTGTGTACCACAACTCACATCAAACCCATCTGCTTTGCTATAAATGTTGGTTGCAGACCGCATATAGCTTCAGTAAATGTGGAAAAGTCTTAGAGATTGGTCTAAATTTATCACACGACTGAAAAGTTTGCTTTTGACTAGTTTATATTCAATCAACAAATGTATTCAATCATGTAAATATATGTGGGCCGCACTTACAGGTCCTTAATAGCTGCCATGACAACATCACTGACATAAGCAAACACAGTTTAAAGTCAGGACCTTCCAACCTTCTGGTATAGGATCATGTGACCCCGTTCAAATAGCTTTAATGGTTGAATAGAGACTATCAGAAGCAGACTTTTAAGTCACATGTGATCAATGTCAACCCATCTCTAATGGTTTCCCATGTTGGTAGAAAACACACATACCCACACAACATATGTTGCATCCCACACAATGAAGTAGGTGGGTTTGCTGTGTGGATCTGTTCAGTACTATAACTGTTACCTTAATGGATACTCAAGGCTGCACTAGAGAAGCTCAAGGATCTGGTGAGCTCATTTGAAGGATATTTTGCTAAACATTTTCTTTGACAACTCCAAAAAGAATTGATAGTTGGCATCTCTTTCAATAAGTATGTAATCATCAAAAGACTAAGTAATGGATTCATAGCACAATTGTCATATTGCATAAAATAGGAATTGGCCTTGGACTTTAAAAGGATAATAATAATTTGTTGTACTGACACAGCCATTTTTTCTGTGTTATACTTAATATATCACTTTAAAAATGCATGCTCAAAAAATGCTTCCTGATAAAGCTTTTGGGATAAGTGGTCTGACATCTCTGAATTGAGACAACAATGAATTTTTCCACAAACTTACCAGAATTTTCAATTTCAAAATGAATGCTATCCTTTAAAGTAGTGTTTTCATCTCCACAGGGAGACACCCTGCATCTAGTCTAATGATACTTTCATTGCTCAAAATGTTTTTGGAATTCACACTTTAAGAATTGCTTTCAACATCTATGGTATAATAGCTAACATTTATACAATGCCTACTATGTGCCAGGCACTATGCTAAGTACTTTACAATTATTAGCTCATTTGATCCTCACAACATCCTCTTATTATTATCCCCAATGAGAAAACTGAGACAAATAGTCTCAGGGTCACACAGCTAGGAAGTGTCTAAGTTTGGATTTGAACCCAGGTCTTCCTGACTCTAGGCCCAGCACTCTATCCAGGGTAGCATCTATCTGCTTATGGTAAATATTCAGTCACTTATTAACTGAATGACACCAGACAAGTCACTTAACTTCCCTCAGTTTGAGTTTCTTTTTTTCTGTGAGAAAATCTCTGTGAGATTCAAATGAGATAACACAGGTAAGGTGCTTTGCAAACCTTAAATCACTATATGCATGCCAATCATTGTTGTGATTGTTGCTATTCTTTCAGAGAGGTCTTAAGAATCATAAGATGTTTGAGGTGGAAGTAAGCCCACAAATCCATTAATCCAACCTCCTCATTCCAGATGAGAATCTTAAGACCCAGAGATGTTAATTAATTAATTAATTAATTAATTAAACTCAGGACTCAGGGGTGGGGAACCTGCAGCCTCGAGGTCCTCAAGTGTGGCCCTTTATTGAATCCAAACTTCACAGAACAAATTCCCTTAATAAAAGGATTTGTTCTGTAAAATTTGGACTCAGTCAAAAGGCCACACACAAGGACCTAGAAGGCCACATGTGGCCTTGAGGTCACAGGTTCCCCACTCCTGGTCCAGCTACTCATTCCACTCTACCACATCTGCTTCATTTTGGAGTCATTTGGCATCAGCTCAGAAAAACAAGGTAAGTTAGTAGGATTCTTCTTTGAAGTGATAAATGAGGTATCATTATAAAATAATGAGACAAACTTTCTTAGGTGGATTGTAAATTGCTTCTGAACTCAAATCCACAAGAGAACCTCCAGAAATATTTTCAGCACCTGCACCATCATTGAAATTGGTGCCTAGGCTTCCAGTGCAACTACATGGAAGGGATAGTATGCATCTTAAAGGAAACACATTCTTATCATATTACCTTGTGTCTTGTCTGTTCACATTAAATTCCCATGGATCAGCAGGCACATTTTTCTTTAAATAAACATCTCTTCCACTAGAATTCTACTGTGTTGCTTCATCATGGTGGTGGAGGCGACCCAGAGTTTTCAAAGGCCATTCTGTATTGTAATCTCTGGCAGGTCATACTCAGCTGAAAAGGTTTGAGTGCAGGCCAGCAGTGGACTGAACATCTGTCTTTCAAATACCTGCCCAACTAAGTTCAGAAAGGCTCATTACCATATTGGTCACAGGATCACAGCTAGGTGGCACAATGAACAGAGTTCCAGGCTTAAAATCAGGAAGACCTTAGATCAACTCCTAGGTCACACAGGAAGTAAGTGGCAGAGCTAGGATTCAGACTTCAGTCCTACTGTCTAGAAAACATCCAGAAACAGTGAATTTCTTCTCTTGCTTCTCCCCTCTGATTGGAGGGCTGAAGAATGGAACATGAAACTTCTCCCAAAGCCTTCCTTTGTAAAGGGCTCATAACCCTTCTTGGTAACTCCATTTTCCTTCAGCTGCTGTGCTTGGCCTCAGCTCCATGGAACAACATGCCACTTGCTGGGTACCCTCCTCCCCCTCACATACTCCTCCTCTCTCTCCAGCTTTTCAGATTTCTTTTAGTATGTTGTCTTTTCCCATTAGGTTGTAAGTTCCTTGCAGTCAGGGACTATCTCTTTTTCTTATTTGTATCCCCAGCACTTAACACATTGCCTGACATATAGTGGATACTTAATAATTCTTTATTCAATTGAATTGAATTTGTGATCCTTTGCAATTTTTATGGGAGCTGGGTTCCGTAATTCCTAATGTCACCACAAGAACCAGACACTACGTTAGGTTCTGGGATAAAAAGAGAGAAATTAAATAATCCCATAGTACAAGTGGTGTCATTTGTTTTGTTAGCAGAATCCATAACACTTCACCAGATTTACTGTAAATACATGATAAATATATGACTTGGTATTTTTACCAAAAGCTCATTTCACTTGTGAGTAATAAGAATAAGTCATATTTTTATAGTATGTTCTGGTTTACAGAGGCAGCGTGGCATAATGGATAGAGAGCTGGCTGACCTCGTAGTCAGGAAGACCTGTGGTCAGGTCCCCCCTTGGGTACCTACTGGCGGTGCATTCCTGAGGAAGGCATATGACCTCTCAGCGTGCTAGGCAACTACAAGTTGCAGAAAAAGTGCCCACCTGAATTGGTAGAGGGAGCTTCCCCACCTGGAAAATTCCTATACCAACACAGCCACATAACCATTCTCTGTCCTTACCTCCTTCTTAGATTGCAAAGACTTTTTCTCACAATTCTGAGAGGTCAATGGTAAAAATATTAGCCTCATTTTATTGATAATAGAAACAAGCACAGAGAGGCTATATGATTTATCCAAATTCATCTAACCTTGATCTTTTTTTCAGGAGTTTTACTGATGCTTTTTGTTTTTGCA